ACTGTTTATATTCGCTCGTAAAACGCATCAAGCATCATCGCATATGTACTCAAGCATAACAAATCCACTTTCATCGAAACACACACACACACCAATGCCAATTTACTGCAACATGTTGCTATTCATCCATCTCATGCAGCATTCAATTCGCTCATACCATACACTCATGTTGCTTTATCGTATCATTACAATTGAACAACTGGCTGACTGAGTGGGTCTTTGAGGCAAATTTCACGACGAAAACGTTCTGTTTTCTCAAAAGATTATATTCCCGGAAGTGTTCAAAAATTAGCTCTAGTGCTCGTTGCATACCAATTCTCCTGAAAAAATTTCAGTCGTGCTTCCTCCCATCACTACGGGTTTTCAACGTTTTATCATAATCCAGTTCTTCACCCGAACATTCCTGCTTGAAACTCACTCTGATTGATAGTAATTTTATTTGCCAGCAAACATAAACTATCTTGTCGCTATAGTGGAATCTGGTAACATCTCAAAGCAGAATGGAAATCATCAGTTGCTGGCTCATACTTACAAATCGCGTTTTGCACTGTCCGATCTACTTCAAAGTTGTCGATACAAAAGTTATTATTCTCTGCATAATCACACAGTGCTTTGAATCTTGCATTTGATACAACTGATTCATTTGGATAATCTGCTCTCTCATTTTGAGTTATCATTTCACTATCATAATGGCTATGCTTTCAAAAGTGAACAAATACTTATGTTCATTCAAATTTCAGAGCGATGAATCAGAAAGATTACCGTATCACTCACAAACGATTTAAATTTCACTGTAACATTGTAATAGTAAAACAAAAGAGTGTAATGCAACAGACCGGATGTGTTATTATGAATTGGTTAATTAAGACTCATTTGTGAACATTATCACGCCATTTGAAATGGTTATTGTGAAACTAATATATTAGCAGCATCTCTGTTATGTTCTTATGCTGAATCATCAGTTGTAATGTACTATCATGCCAATATGCTTACTTTTATTCTTATCAAGTTGAGTGTTAAGTTGATGCAGCTAGTTGCTTTCGAACACCTATCTAATAAGTATATGGCTATATCAAACTCGGCGATATTAATAGTCATATGGTATTGGTTGGTATTAGCCTTGAAATCTCAGTTTGAATCATTGGCAGTGTTCAGTTTGAATCATAGACGTAATATGACAACCCCTTTGGGGAAGTTAAAAAACTGAAAGTGTAATGTAAATGAAAAGTTGATTTAGTGACGACGATGCAAAGAAGCAACGAACGATCCGATGTGAATGCATCTATCTATAATATCTCATCAGACAAGCAATATTACTAAATAGCAATCGTATTATTTGGTATGCGAATGCTGTTTGATGTGACCGACAAAATTATGATACATTTTAGGGAATAGACATCTGAATAAGATACTTCATTGATGCACTACTATTTTATTGTATTATGTACTTTCGAATGAAGAACAATCAATACGCGAACAAATTACACCACTCTACGAGTACATTTGCATTTTTTCGAAACATTTCTGTACCACTTAAAGCCAGTTCAAAATGATAGAACTCAAAATACATCTGGCGAGGATGGAATCTCATCGAAAAACTCTTAATTGAGAAAATTTTCGCCTAGATGAGCAAATTTCGCTTCAATTTGACTCCTATAAAAAAGTTTATCTAGAAAGAAGGTTTAGCTGAACTGAATGGTAATCGAATAGGCAAGATGGCGCCTTAATGATGATATGATACACATATGAAGTTGTTTTTTCTTAACAGATGTAATTGGTCGTCATGAGCTTCAAATCAGAAAGCGCTTCATTCAAGCAAAATTCGAATTGTGAATCCAATTTGACGGCGGCGGTAACATGAAAGAATTTCTAAAGTTTAATGTCAATCTCATAACGATATTCCTCCACACTCAGATAGATTCGCACCAAGATCGTTTTTTATTCTGAATATAAAACATTTTTTCGTGCTGACAACACGACAATAAGCTCGAAGTATTGTCATACGTAACGAGTATGTTCCAAATGCGTAGTCTTCTCTCGTTTTATGTCACAAACGTCATCGCACATTATTATCAATCACCTGCACATTAATGAAAACTTTTTATCCGCTCAAGCAATGTGCACCAAAACGACGACTTGTTTGCTTACTCTCTTAATCATCGATTTTTGAACTGAAGTGAACGTTAAGGTCCACTTCATCACTGATTGAATGCTCTATGTACTATGTTGTATAATCATCTGAATAACAACAACAAAGTATGGATTTGAGGCAAATAACCAATTCCCTTTAAATGATCGCATATCAATATTAACCTTAACTAGTCAGCTCTACAGTATCCGATGCTACAGTAACACCAGTCATGCAGTATGCACAAAAACATCACGCGATCAAATTGATGCCCTCCTTTCACCATGTCGCCAATTCTGTCAATGCTTATTATCGGTGATGCAACCATGAGCTGCTTGCTGCCTTCCACACATGCGTAACATGGGTTGTATAATTGTATAATTGGATTGAATCATGTTGCTGTTTATCATGAATCAATTTGCTATCATTCGCTCATATACATATCTATTGCAACAGATCACTNTATTTATATGAACGAACTATTATTCGATTTCTCGAAATTGATGGATTAATTACAAAATTAGAATTAACTATCGATTAGAATTGAAAAAAAAGAGTATAAAAAAAGCAATGTACTAAATATTGGTGGCTGGATTCAAACATGATCGCAGTTACTTACCATCTAACGAATAAATGCATACATAGTTTGTTAGGAATTAGTAAAGTGCTGATGGTTGAATGAAGAAAAAATTTGAAATATTCGAAAAGAGATGGATGGATGAATCAGATAGAGGAAAGAAGTAATAAAAACGGTAAGGTTACGATAATAAAAACAAAGACATCAGAGCGTGATACGACGAGAATGTTTGCTTGTGAGATGCCGACTCACGGATCTTATCTGGCAATCTTTTGATTGTGTTGTTATGATGGATTGTGTAATAGATAATAATACTAGTCTCAATCAGATGCCGGCAACATTTTCAAAATCCAACTAACTCATTTTGGCGCCCCTCTAAAGAATCTCTAAAATTACCGTATACTTCTGAGCATATATCCCTTCGAATTTTCAATTTTTATTCATCGAAGTAATCTTGCAAAGTTCATAATTTCACTTCATTTCAATGCAAATCAATGGCTTTAGTGGAATCATCGAGGTTGTCATTCTTATCCATCATTTATGGAATCAGCAAATCATTGCAAACGAATCGAACAAGTAATTAGTAGAACCATAGCGGTTTAATATCCATTACTTTATTACATATGGAATGTAATGAGCACATCACGTTGTCTCTTAATAGAGAATTCACCCGAATCAAAACAATTAAGATTAGCCTCCCTCCTCTTCGAAATCTCGAATCCCTGAGATATATTATCTACTGATTGGATATAAGGATTTTGCAATGTGGCGGTACGGTGTTTCAATCGGCAGCAGCAGCAGCAGCTCAGTAAGTCATAAAACGCGCATAATCTTCCCACGGACCGGGTGGCTACGAATTTTATGAACCTCTTCGGAAGTTTTCACCAAAGCCGCTTCAAAGAGGCCGAGATTTCTGTTTTCTTGGAGTGTGCGTCCTCGTAACGGTCGTAAAAATTTTGTTACTAAATACAACACACACANACACACACATCACTAACACTTATCTGTTCGATGTACACAACATGATAATTGTTGTTTGGATATATTACATCAGATATCTCTTGTAAACTTGTACGTACCGACCGCGCATTTCTTCCTCAATTCACTGGCCAACTTGTCAAACTATGATTCAGTGATAGGTAAGCACCCGATTGAAGTGAACCTAG